CACGCGGTGGGCCGCCGGGCTGCACGCGTAACTCCGAGTCCGTGGTTATTTGTAGGCGTTGAGGTTGGTCGTGGGTGCGTTTAATGTTGCTGTGCGGCGTATCGTCGATTCCGTCGTTTGGCGGCTTGGTAGTCTYCGGTGGTTGCTTGTTAACCTCCACTGTCGGCTAGTGCTCTTCGTCAGCTGGCCGGCGATCTTCGTTGTCGGCTATAGTAATGGTCTCCTTTATTCCAATAACGGCAACAATGAGTTAGCGTGCAAAATATGTTGACGTTCGGGAGTTTGGAGAAGGACTGGATATCGGACATCGGTCGATTCGGTAGGTCGGGCGCACCCGTATTTAAACGCGTCGACCCACTCAGGCGTACTTCTGATTGGTTGTTGTGTTGTATTTGACGAGTAAACCTGACATCGATTGCTGGATCGATTGGTATTAACCGTGTCATTTTCACTTTTCTGTTTGTGGATGTTCTAGATAGGCAAGTGAGTTGTCTATGCTTGTCTATTGCTATCGATTTGTTGGCCGTGAGAACGGCATTATTAGTTGTTCTATGCCTCTATGGTACTCGCGCTTTGTGCCGTATCAAAGTTTTTGTTAGTGAAAATTAAAAAAAAAAGTTGAGCGTATATACAAAATAATTTTTAATGACTAATTTAAATTGATAAAAACATAAAATAACGAAAATTTGAAAATTATTTTGAGTTTGAACTCTATAAAAAATGTTCTTTTAAATATAAGATTTGAAAATGTAATACAAGATTCTTCATAAGTTTGTCTATCTGTATCGAAAAATAAATAAATAAATAAAAATGATGTTTACTGGAGAGTCAGATTAAGTTTATATGAGCGCTTAAAAATAAAATTTTTACAACATCGGATTTTCACTCGATTTCTCAAATAGAAATTATGATGCATACAATAATAAATAAGAGGATCAGATTATTCAGATTTCCTAAAGAATTCACACTAGATAAGTATACCACTCCATATACATCATTACATCAATAATATTTGTTTCTATTTATCAATTAAATACTTATAGTTTAATTGCATGTATATAAGTAAAAATTATAATTTACCTATATTGATATGGTTTTATGGTTCTGAACGGAACAATGAATGTATTATGCTTTTAAATTATGTATTTTTTTTTTAAAAACATTTTTAATTTATGTGTTTCCTTCATGATTCGGGGCAGTATAAATGCTTCAATTTTTAACTTTTGTTGTTATTTAAAGATGAATAATTGTAATTTTTAGATACTTTAAATTTACACCAAATGTTAATTTTATGATTTTATATACTCGATAAAATTTTAAAAATATCTTGACTTAAAAATGTACAACATTTTCAACTTTTATAGGTACATAAAGATCGAAAATTTAAAACATGATTGCATGTATTTCTGTAACGAAAATATTTTTAAAATATATAAAGATAGTTATTTTTTACAGTTATTTTAAGTTAAAATTTGGATGAATTAATACATATTTAAAAATCTTAACCTAAAAATTTATATAATTTACACATATATATTATGTGTATAGTTTTTTTAAATTTATTTTTATTACAATAATTAACAATCAAATTTAAAATGCCCATGAACGTAAGTATGTATTTTATCAGTTTGTACTATCCGCTTATCATCTTGCCGGTTAAAGCATAATTTTTTGGATTTAATTGTTCGTATCCTATGGTTGAACGATATGATGGATACATTCTCCCTAGTTTTGAGTTATCTTTTTCATAATCGATGAACAGGCAATCCAAATGATCTCTAAAAGACATAATATGGTGTTTAACTATACATGTGCCSTCAAACGCCTTTTGCCTTAATTTTTCCTTGTTGTTCAAAATGTATGCGTATGATTTGGCTCGGAGGGTGATAAACTCAGTAATTGGCTGTCCTTTCTTCTTATTTGAAATCCCGAGAATCTTTTTTCGTTTAGCTACCTAGCAGGGGTAATCTTTAGGTAGGTCTGAAGTATCCATATACAGTCCAGTAAGTTTGAGTTGCTCTACAAATCTTTTATAGAAGTCGTCTGTCAGACAGACTCTGTCTTAATATAATATATCAATGAATCTAAAATATAAATAAAAATAAAAATAAACGTCAACATAAATATTCTATTAGAATGATTCTAATATTCTATTAGAATTTTTGATAGGTGAAATGAAGGAAAAAAATATCATAAAGGTTCTATGTAATCAAATCAATTATATACATATAACTAGAATATTATATTTAAAAAAAAWTTTTAATAAGGGTAAATAAAAGGGGAGGAATTGCATTATGAAGGGGTAAAATATATGTCAGTCACGTGTCGGTTCGGGAGGCGGCTGCGACGAGTGACGAAATTTATGTGTACAGGTTACCTATATATTGATTAATTATTGATAGTTTCGGAAGATTTCGGAGGAACGTGTACTGCGTGTTGCTTATGTATGAATTTACATGTTTTTTAAGGGGGGGGGGAGATCTAGAATCCCTTATATTATTCTAATTATCTATGTAATATACTGTTGTATAGTCTGAAATAGACACTAGACGTGCAATGTTGAACTGTAAAATGTAAATATAACACTTCATAATGTTTCCCTACGGAGTTGCAATGAAATATTACACAAAATGTTGGTATATAGGATATGTATTCTTTTCCCGTCGCATCACGGGTAACATTAAACATATGGACCTACGAATATATTAAAATTTTTATTTTTGTCGTCAACTGGTACTACTGCAGTGGTCATTATTGTATGTTAAACATTCTGCACACTATGATTCAATCGATCGTCCCGAACAAGCAAATATTGAAATATCACACCGATTTATCTGTTTTGTCGCCAACGCTGAACGCTGCAAATACAGAGCTTAGAGAGAAACAAACAATGATCACTGAGAAATCTTTATAAAAGTAAAATTTTCATGACATATAACGCATATCACTCGCATAAATAAATTCCATCATACTGCGAGACAATTAACGCGTAGACGGTTGATAATTATTTTAGGAGATGGAATGCATCGTAGTGTGTTTTCTCTTCTAACGACACGAGACTTTATAATAATTTAGTGTTTTCATTCGGAACGACTTCTATTATTTTTATTCTAAGATACACATCGAATAATTAATTTGCGACGGTTCCCTTCGTCATCTTCTCTAAAAGTAAACCAAGTGATTAACATCGGAGAAAACGCGGGTTGATGTATCGTATATGTCATATTATCATGTATATTATAACCTACTACCCATACCTTCTAGATATATCATATACTTTATAATATTATTATAATGCACACACAATAAGATGTGAATTAGCTTTTACGAGATGTAACATTTCTTGACACGTTTTAAAACACTATCATTACAACTTTTACAATATACATAACATAATACGATACACAACAAATGTTTAATATCCTACCTATATATACGATGCATAAACCGAAAAACACGCTGTGCCTTGGTGTTTATTTTATACGCTTAAAAATAATATCATCATATCTATAGATATCTTTAGTGTCGGCAGTTTGGCTCATCTTTTGGTCACCGGTACAATAATTTTCAATGAGCAGACATTTTTTTTTTCATTTCTATAAATCCAAAACATATTATTACCATTAGATCAACTTGGCAACTTTCGCGTTTTAAAATGTCAATTTAATTACCCAAGTAAATATAGGTATACTAATAGGATCGAAATTGGTGACCGAAAAGTCTTTGAAAAAAAATGAACTTTTAAATTACCGAAAAATGTCAAAAACTTACCGCTATATATGTTACATATAATTAGTTCGGCGCCACTGTATATGTGTATACTCAAAAACTATTGGGACGTTTTCAATACAGAAGACAGTCGAYTAATATGGCAAGCAGAAAAAATAACCACRGAAAAAAACCCACTAAAAT